TAGTCCTCAAAGTGACATCTTTGCTCTTGAATACTGTAATTAGGTCTTCTTCATCAGATTTATCTAATGCAATAAATACATTGTTGGTTTCTTCACTGCTGTTTCCATGAGTAAATAGATCTGAGTAAAATGAAGTCTTTGACAACTTCAATCTTTTCTCCATTTATTAGTCCAATGTTATTAGTCCAGTGGTGGGAATTTTGTTTTCTTTACATTGAGTTACAACCTATATGGAATGCTGTGGTCTTTGATCTTCATCAGTAAGGCATTTAAGCCCTCTTTGCTTTCAGCATGTAAGATTGTATCATTTCATATCACAGGTTCCTAATGAATCTTTGTTCAACCTTGATGCCATGTTTTTCTTCATATAATCCAGCTTCTCTAACTATTTGCTCAGCATGCAGATCCAATAAGTATAAGTGTAGAGCCCTGGTACACACCTCTAATAAGTTTAAACAATGTAGTGTTTCTTTGTTCTGTTCGAACAACTGCCTCTTGGACTAAGTACAGGTTCCTCATGAGCATGATTAAGTGTTCCAGAATACTCATTCTCCACAATGTTGTCCATAGCTTGTCATGATCCACACAATCGAAAGCCTTTGCATATTTAATAAAGCACAGGCAAACATCTTTCTGGAGTCCTGGTGTGGTGCTGTTGGTTAATGCGCTGGACTGCAAACTCCACTTGAACTGGGAGGCATGCGGTTGAAGCTCACCATCTGCTCCTTGGAAACCCTATACAGGATTGTTATGGATTGGAACCTGACTCGATGGCACTGAACAACAACAACAACCATCTTTCTATTGTTCTCTGCTTTCAGCCAGATCCATCTGACATCAGCAATGATATCCCTTGTTCCCTGTCCTTTTTTGGATCCAGCTTGTACCTCTGACAATTCCCTGTCATTGTACTGTTGTAGCTGTTTTTTAATTACCTTTAGCAAAATTTTAATTGCATGTGATATTAAATCATGTGCAAATTAAGTTTTGCTGAAGTGAATTCATTAATGGTTAAAGCAGCATATCAGAAGGGAACTGCCATTAATTCAAGCTGAGTTCAGGGGAAAACATGGAATGAGGGCTATCATTTCTGATATCAGATGGATCTTGGCTGTAAACAGAGAATACCATAAAGATGATTACCTTTGTTTCATTGTGGGTCACAACAAATTATGGATAGCATTGCTTAGAATGGGAATTCCAGACCACTTAATTGTGCTCATGCAGAAACTGTACACAGTCATATAGAACAAGGGAATTCGGGTTGATTTAAAATCAGGGAAGTTACATTTCAGGGTTGTATCATTTCATCATACTTATTCAATCTGTATGCTTAGCAAATAATCCAAGAAGCTGGACTAGCAGAAGAAGAATGCTGTGTTATGATTGGAGGAAGATTCATTAACATCCTGTTGATGCAGATAATACAACATTGCTGGCTGACAGTGAAGAGGCTTTGAAGCACTGGCTGATGAAGATCAAAGACTACAATTCAGTATGGATTAGACCTCAATGTAAAGAAAACAAAAACTCTCAGAATGGGAATAATAAGCAACGCCATCATCAAATCAACCCAAACCTATTGGCATCCAGTTGGTTTTGACTCATAGCAATTCCATAGGCTAGATTAGAACTGCTCCATAAGGTTTTCAAGGCTGTAAATCTTTGTTAAAACAGATTGCCATATCTTCTTCTACGGAGTGAGCTGGTAGATTTGAACTGCGGACCTTTCAGTTAGTAACTAAGTGTTTAACCACTGTACCACCAAATGGAGAAAATATTGAAGTTGTCAAAGATTTTATTGTACTTGGGTCTACAATCAACACCCATGAAGCAAAAGTCAAAACACAAACCTTGTATTTCTTGCCTTCAGCAAATCGGCTGCTAATGATTTCTTTAAAGTCTTAAAAGCCAAGATGTCACCTTGAGAGCTAAGGTATGCCTGACCCAAACTACGGTATTTTCTTTTAAAATTTTTATTGTGAATTGAGTGAAGGTTAACAGAGCAGATCATCAGTTTTACATTCAACAAACCATGTACTTCTCTTCATCTCCTCAATGACATACTAGTTATCCCACTCCCTCACTATGTTTCTTGTTTCCATACCACCTTTCTTTTCCCACCCTTCTGAATTTTGTTCTTAGCAAACTGCCCTTGGATAGAATGTTTAACCATTCTAAGGTGTGTGGACAACCATTCTAAGGTTGTTGTCTTCCCATATCTTTTGCTTGCCTGATAACTGAGGCATAGAGAATTCAGTTCCAGACATAATGGTAACCATAGGCCGTAATCTTTGGGTTCCACCAGTCTCAACTTGATCAGTAAAGACAAGCCATGGTATTTTTAATTGCCTTATGTGCATCAACCCCTGGACAATGAATATGAAAGATTGAAGAAGAATTGATGCATTTAAATTATGTTGTTATTGAAAAATATTAAATATATTATGGACTACCAGAAGAGAGAACAAGTTTGTCTTGGTAGATGGAGAGCCAGAATGTTCCTTAGAAGTGTGCATGGCAAAACTTTGTCTCATGTACTTTTGACATATTATTAGGAGGGACCAGTCATTGGAGAAGGGCACGATGCTTGGTAAAAATAGAAGATCCATGAAAGAGAAGCTCCTCAGTGAGGTAGATTGGTCCAGTGACTGCAACAGTGAGCTCAAACCAGTGATTGTGAGGATGGTGTAGGACTGGGCAGTGTTTCTATTTCACATAGAGTTAGAACCAACTTGATGGTATTGAGCTACAACAACAATAATCTTTACAGAAAGAAATTGCCACATATTTCTCCTGAAAAGCAGCTGGTGTGTTTGAACTGCTGAGCTTTCAACTAGCAGCCCAGCACTTAACTGCTGTACCACCAGGGCTCCTTATTAAATGTCTGCTGTTGTTGCTGTTAAGTGCTGTTGAGTCGGTTCTAACGCATAGTGAGCCAGTATAGGGTTTCTGAGGAATTGCCAGTGCTATTCCAACAATGCCACACCAAGACTCATTAAACATCTGGTGTTTCTTAATTCAGGAAATATGATGAAGTTACTTTCAACTCAACAAGAAATGAGAATCACACAAGAATTTTGATCAGATGAGCAGAGTGTCCTTAGTAAGGATGGGTCCTCTGAGTTCAAATCTTCCTAGCTGCATAACTTTGGGCAAGGATATAACTAGCTTGATCCTCAGTTTCCCAATATGCAAAGTGTGAGGTATAACATTTTGAAGATTGAAGAAAGAGATGAAGAACATAGAAGACCTGGAACAGTTCCTGTATCCCAAAGAAGCACTTGAGAAATCATTATAGGCAGCTTCAGCAGCTGTGTTCTGAGTAGTTATTGAGTTATTCCCGACAGGATTTGGAAACAGGTTCAGCAGAATCTGTATAAGTCACCTCCATGCACATAGATGTTTTTCTTTGTGCTCCATTAAAAGATCAGGGATGGCCTAAACATGTGAGTAAAGCTGGGAAGTAGCCTGGCTTTCTTACCTTCTCTTTCCCCTTGCCCCAGCCCCCAGGATCCTCTAAACTTCAGTGGCATGGTTCAGCCTTTGACACTGTTCCTCCTACTTTCTGAGGTTCTGGTCGCTCCTTCCTTATTGGTCCTACCTCCTATTGGAAGAAGCCATGAAATGAGGTGATACAAAGGACACTGCATCACCAAAGATGGAGCCTTGTGAGAACTTCTGTTCTTCTTTCCAGCCAAGCCTTTCTTTTGACCTTCTCTAGTAACTAAGGCTGCTGTTCAGGAAGGCAAAAATCAAATGCATTTCTATCATGAGGATGCAAGCTGTTATGTGCATCTATCTAAACGAGAGAGGCTGTGAATAAAATCTGGCAAGGTTATAAGGGCATCCTGTTGGTGAGTGAATGCTGAGGAGGGGTGCAGGCTAGCCATCTTCCTGACTTGCATTTCCATACACTACTGTTTCCCTGACATCTTGCTGTGGTTAGTTTTTGTCAAGTTGGCGCTGACTTCTGGTGACCATATGTATAAGGGGATGGTAAGTTGCCCAGTCTTGTGCCATCTCCATGATTCTTAGTGTATCTGAGTCCATTGTTGTGGTGATTGTATCAATTCTTCCCATTGAGTGTGTCCCTGGTTTTCACAGATCCTCTACTTTTGCCATGACAGAGCTGATAATTAGTAATTTGTGCCCCATGGCTGAGACCCAGGGAGAGTGGTCAATGGAACAAATGCAGAGAAAATGGTTTGCAGCCAGGGTCTTCTTTTTCTCCACACTAACACCCTCCTTTATCTCCCTTTTAAACCACACTACTAGAGGGTTTACCAGAGAAAAGGGAGAATAGGCAGTGCCCTGCTGTTGCTAGGCAACCAGAAAAAACACACACACAAAACCCCAAGCTCAGTCGTCGTCAATAATGGACGATTTTTTTCCCAGGAATCTGTGGACTCCTGCTAAGTAATTCATGTAGTGTTAACAGATTTGCATGATGCTGAGGCTGGATGCTCTCCTTCACCCTTCAATTCCTTTCTCCCTACCCCCCACCCACATCAATGAAGTCCCACATCCATAATTTAAAGCTGGAGCTCGGTTCTTGACTTTGAGATATTCTGAGGGAAGGGGCCACGTAAATGCAAATAAGCTTTAGTGCACAGCTAGAGTATTTTTAAGGCCTTGAAATTTTTTTTTTTTTAATAAATAGATATGCCTTTCTCAGCAGAAAGTGTTTTAATGGCCTGTGGATGCTGACAGGCCTGTATTCATTTGACAGTTCCCTGGGAGCATTTTGTAAAGGGTGATTTTAGCTACAGGAGAGGTCTGCGCATATTACCAAGCACATTGGAACGATAGGGATGATTCATTCCATCGTCCGATGTCCATTTTGTTCCGTTCTCACTGTGCTCAGCCATTCTCTCTGCAGCAGAATGCATGCCATTGTATTTCCCAGTCTTGGAGAACCCTGTCTCTGATAAGTGGTGCCACTTGTCTGGTGGGTCCCATGCTGACTTCCTCTAACCTGTACTGTCTGTTTGTTGCAGATTTGCTAACATCCCTGACTGAGTTCCCAAACTCCCAGGACTCAACTGCACCTCAACCGCTGACATTTATAGCAAAAGCAAAGCTGAATCTACAGACACTGACCCGACAAGATGAAGAGACTGGAGAGCCAGCTGAAGAAAATATTGTTTACCTCTAATTGTATGTTGTTATTTTTCCATGTCAAAGAAAACAAAACACTGGCACTTTGAGCAGAACTTGTTGTGTTCTCCTCCTGATGTGTGTGTAATCGTCTGTGTCCAAATTGTTTTAAGAATAATATTTAATATTTCATGCAAGTTCATTTGGGGTGGTTTGAATCATTAAATTATGGAAAGCAGCTCTGTTTTTTTTTTTTTTATCTTTACATTATGACACATAATTTCAGATTTCTGGAGGTGAAATGAACTTGAATAAACAGAAGTATTTCATTTGACTCTGAAGCAAAATTCCATCTTGCATTTTCTTTGGGATGATTTGTATTTTATAATGCTTTCTCAGAGGAAATGATACGGATTTAAACAGAGTCCTGGTGTGGCACAGTAGGATAAGCACTGCACTGCTAGCTACAAGGTCAGCAGTTCAAAACCACCAGCCACTCCTTGGAAACCCTATACAGGGTTACTTTGAGTCTGAACGAACTCATTAGCACTTAACAACAGCAACATTTGTAATGTGTCAATTTTCTCAGGCACTACTGATCATCTGTGAACTGCAAGGTCAGCAGTTTGAAACTACCAGCTGTTCCGCAAGAGAAAAATGAGACTTTCTCCTCCCGTAAAGATTTACAGCCTCAGAAACCCTGTACAGGGTAGCTATGAGTCGGAACTGACTCCACCCATGGCACTTAACAACAACAACAACTGATCATCAGGAGTAGCCTCAGGGCCCCAAAAGGCAGAGGAGGGTGTGGCAAGGGCTGGTCAAGTTAGTTTTTTGTGTACTACTCGTGTGGTACTGTGGGCTAATGCACTGGACTGCAAGTTGGTTTGAACCGCAAGATCGGCAGTTCAAACTTACCAGCCGCTCCCTGGAAACCCTATGCAGGGTTGCTATGAGTCAGAACCGACTTGATGACACTTAACAACAACTACTTTCTCTTTGGAGCATCAGAATAGTTGTTCCTGGCAACCATTCACAGCCACCATTCAACCAAACTGTTGTGAGCACTAGTTCTGATCTGAAGGCCACTGAACTAGGAACACAGTATGGACACTCTCAGGACCTGAGCTGCATTCTCTGCCGATGCATGATGTTGGTTCTAATGCTAGTCAGCTTTCAAGCCATACTGGAGCATCATTTTTCAATTTAGTTATCAGCAGAGGCCCTGGGACACCAGTAAGTCCATTTTGGTGTAAATAGTGAAACTCCGTTTGAGTCTTCATTGGATCCTGTCCCTGCCACCACCTGGGAGTAGCAGCACTGGCCACTCACTAGAAGAAAGTCCTATGGGCCTTTAAGGAAAAGAAAACAAAAATTCTCCCCATGAAACCTGCTGCTTGTTCACGCTTTTCCATATAGGAAAACTGGAACATCCTGTCTCTAGGTGAAGGAAATAAACCAGGAAATGTTTTCATCTTGTTCTACAGAAATATTTACATATGTTTTGGTCAGTGTCAATAAATATTGTTTACTTCACTATTTTACCTTGTAATTTTGATATTACGTGGAGGATCATAATTAACCACACATCACACATAAACACAATCTCCCCTTGCTACAAGTGAAAATACATGAGGAATTTAAAATTTTCTCAAAATTATGGCACCAAGGTGGGAGACACGATAGGAAGAGAGAAAATTTCACTTAAATCTCATTGTTATTTTAGCTACTTAAAGTTTTAGACTGTATACCTACATTATATTTTCTCTAGTTGTTGTTAAGTGCCATCACATCAGTTCTGAATTATAGAGACCCTATTCACAACAGACCAGAACACTGCCTAGGCCTGCACTGGTCTCACAATTGTTACGTTTGAATCCATTGCTGCTGCCACTGTGTCACTCCATCTCATTGGGGATTGTCATTTTTTTTTTGTTGTTGACCCTCCAATTTTCCAAACAAAATATTTTTCTCTAGGGATTGGTCCCTCCTGGCAACACCTCCAAAATACAAGAGATGAAGTCTCGCAATCCTTGCTTCTGACTGTACTTCTTCCAACACAGATTTGTTTGTTCTTCAGGCAGTCTATCATTCTTTCAGTATTCTTTTCCAACACCATTATTCAAATTTACAGAGTCTTCTCCAGCTTTCCTTATTCATTATTCAACTTTCACATGCATATGAGGTCATTGAAAATACCATAGTGTGGGTCAGACACACCTCAGTCAGTCCTCATGACATTTTTGCACTTGAATACTTTAAAGAGGTCTTCAGCAACAGATATGCCTAATGCTAATCATTTGAGTTTTTGATTACTACCTTCATGAGCATTGATTCTGAATCCAAGCAAATTTAAGTCTTTGACACCTTCAATATTTTCTTCATTTTTCATGATGCTATTTATTGGTTCAGTGGTGAGGATGTTCATTTTCTATACACTGAGATACAATCTATATTGAAGGCTGTGTTCTTTGATCTTCACCAGTATCTCCAGTTTTCTTTGTTTCCAGTGAGTAAGGTTGTGTCATATGGGTATCACAGGTTGTTAATTAATCTTCCTCCCATCCTGATGCTCGTTCTTTATAGAATCCAGCTTTTTGAATTATTTACTCAGCATAAAGATTGAATAAGTATGGTGAAAGGATACAACCCTGGCACATATGTTTCCTGATTTAAAACCATTCAGTATCCCCTTAGGCAAGTCAAATCTCTTGTTGTTTCTTTAAGCCTTGGGGTGGAGGGGGGGTACTTTTTTTCTTTTGTGGCTTCTGGTAATCATTAATAATTCAGCAATTAAATCTTTTCACAGAATGAATATAACATTAGAAATGTAGTCAATCTCTTCACCCCCAAGCATAGATACATTAGTTAGCTAGATAGATGATGGCTGTTCAGACTCCTCCAATGCATGGTGACTTTTTGGATGGAGGTCATGGAATGGAAGGTTGCCTGCATCCTCCTTACAATCAAGTTGTAGTTAAGCCATTGCTGTAGTGATTGTGTCAAACCATTTCAACAAGAATCTTCTCATCCTTTTTGGTTCCCTTCATCACCACACACGATGTCCTTCTCTAACACTGGATCCCTGCTGCTGATGCAGTCAAAGCAAGCTAGTTAAGTATGTCCTGTTGGCATCCAGAAGGTTCTGATTGGCTAATTAAAAAAATTGGATCACTAGGCATTTCTTCCTAGTCTGTCCTGAACTATAAATTCTGCTGAAATCTGTCCACCATGGGTGACCCTGCAGATATTTTAGTACCAGTGGTATAACTTGCAGCATCATAGCAATCAGTACACAAACCACCTTAGGTAACTCTAAGCATTGTTCCTAAACTATAAGATTCATTTTCTATCCTTAAGGACATGGAGAAAGGAAAATCTATTTTCCCCTTTTCTTCAGGATAGTTTATTCCAGAATCCTACATCCCTAGAATGAAAACTGTATAGATAATTCAGTCTACGTTCTTGCTCTAGTAACTATTAACATCTTCCTTTTTCTCTTACAGTAGATATAGAAAGAGTGAAAATATGTAGAGATGTACAAAATCCCCACAGGGTTCTTTAAAACTACACGGGCTCAGTCAAACTTCAAATCCTATAATCCCATGGTTTCAGTGGAGTCCCCTGGGGAAACCTCAGCATCCTATAAGATACAGGCTTTTGTTACAAGGACAGATCCCCCTCCTGTACATCAAGGAATTGAGTACTACATTTGATCTCACTCTCTTGATAACAGCAAAAAATAAACTCAGCAAATCCCTCCTCCATATGGCAGGTGATTTTTCATCTAATTCATGTTCATATTTGGCTTGAAATTTATGCTTACCTGCATACTGAAAAAATATATTCAAAGGTTCCTCTTGCTACTTCTCCCATTTCAATAATATAACTTTCCAACAGAATATAATGTAATTTCAAACCTTTCTCGTTAAGTTCTTTAGTTCCCATTTGTCCCCACTATGTAATAAGGTCAGATCTCAACAGAGAGTCAGTCTGTAACTCGAATACAAATTCAGATATCTGAAGAGATCACCCTATCTCCCAGGACCATAAATAACTTGCCCTCAAAGGATCAGCTTTCACCACCTGGATAGAGCTTAAAGATAACATTCAATCCTCTAGAGATTGGACATGGAAAGGAAAACAGTGTTTTGCCTCTGTCCCTTTCAGGTTGCCTGAATGTGTGTACCACCTCACTGTTCTACCTCCCTCTGAGTGGCATCAGGACGACATGATGGCTGGAGCCAGGAAACACTTTCCAGCCCATTGCAGTTAGAGTTTTGTTCATTTAGAAAAAGGTAAAAACACTTGATGATGTCAACAGCATGTAGAGGTAGTGTGTGTGTGTATGTGTACGCACATACATGAGTTATGTAAAGTGAAAGGAAGCATGATTTAATCATGTGAAGACAGATAAAGCAATATATATTCCTTCCTGTGACCTAGGGTCACTTTCAAACTTAGAACTGACCAGAGGTTATCAAGGTTCAACCCATGCTGTCGTCTTCAGTCCTGAGAGACAGTAGAGCACAACAACGGAGGCTTCTGGAGTTGGCTCTGCCCCTTGCTAAGAGACTTTGGCAAATCACGTCCCCTCTCAGTGCTTTAGTTTCCTCACCTATAAAACAAAGATGATTAACTAGTAGAGTTGTTGCGGTGATTAAATGATTAACATGTACAATGAACAGAACCTGAAACATACTAGTCAACTAATCAATGCTAGACATCAATAATATCAAATCATTAAAGATTCTTTGTAATAATGGCTCAGCCTGGTTCCAGTTCTTAGGCAAGTAGTTCCCATGTAATTAGAAACTGAAAAGGGAGAGAACTTCAGCATTTTGTGAGACTGGACTAAGGTCATTGTTTTCAATAACCTCATATGCATGTGAAAGTTGGACAGTGTATAAGGAAGTCCATTGAAGAAATGATTCATTTGAGTTATGGTGTTTAAAGTATTATATTAAAAGTACCATGGGATGCCAAAAGAACAAACCAATCTGTGTTGGAACGAGTACAGCCAGAATGCTCCCTGGAAGCCAGGATGGCCAGACTTTG